GACTGACTGAAGAAACGGGGAATGCCACTTCATCAATCCGGTCCTCAAACTCCTTGATGTTGCGGTTCAGCTACAGGTTGCACCTACTGCGTGTACTATATTAAACGTTTGTTTTTCTCTGAAAACAAACTATTCGTTGAAATGTACCCATTTTTCTCGCGTAGGAGGTTTCGCCTGACTTACGTTCAGGTCTGTTCCTTTGACACTGCTATTACTGCCTCGATTGGGGAAATGGCATTGAGTACAGTCATGCAAAGGAGGATGGGGTGTGGAGTGAAAAAGGTTATTTTGACTTACCAAAAGATAGATGCTCTCTACATCGGAGCAACAGTGGCAGATGTATATCCCTCTCATCAGCTATGACCAGTAGCAAAACGCATCATTGCAAGCAGGGGAGTGATGTTGGAATTGTGGAACTGCGTTCTCACCGCATTCATGATTTGGGCACTGTCTTTGGAGTCAAACAATTCCTCCCGCCTGTATTTACAACTGGAAGACAAATCAGTCTAAAGTCAGTGTTCCACCCTTTATCTCAATGGGCTTTGAGTGTAAGAAGGACGAATTGAGCGCTTGAAAGCAGGGAAAGGCAATATATTGAACAATTGATAAACCACCAAAAAGAAAATACTTGTTTTGTTTGGTGCCACTGGTGCCGCAGTAGAGCAAACTTTTTCCGATAAAGCTTGATGGCTGAATGTCTGTAGCTAAATTTTGCATTGATACACGGTAGTGATTGGAAGCCACTGATGACCGTCACGTCACTGGAATATTAATGGCGACTCAGCTCAATGAAGTAGTAAGCAGCTGACTTAAAAAATGCCACTTTATCTCGCTTATTCCGCTTTCAAGAACTCAATGCCCACGCTTATCAGAGGAATTGCATTCTCTAATGTACGTTGAATCTCATCTTTGCTATCTACAGCCCGCGAATATACTTTCGACGTACGCTACACCAGTCGTGAAGTGCATGACCGGGCAAGGCGCAATCTCTACCACGCAGCTAGCGAGGCATCAAGCTCATTCGGTAACTCACTGGGCACTGCGCCTACGACACTGGTGGGATCGGCCGAGTCGGCAGGAGGAACCAACCAACTACCAACAGACTCGATGCACCAACCTGAAGACACCACACTCATCACCACTGCCTCCCCTGCCTCGCTCAATCGCCTCACACCGCATGCCTCGAACAGTGACTCCATAGCCAGTATAGAGGAGGTGAGTGGTAGCTGTCGAGTAAGCAGAAATATGGCTTGGATGTAGGATAAGGGTGGCGTATGTTGGTTGCTGTGTCATCCGAGAAGTGTGTGGCAAGTGGTGGGATGCGTGGTTAGTAGTGGAAAAATCAACCACGGATTGATGAAGGACAGTCAAACACGATGTTGGAAGTGCTGGCTCAGATTGACTTGATAAGGCGATATTTTCTTTAATTTGGGAAATGTAGTTGGATTCGAAGCGTCGAGGTGGTTTCGTGGGAATTAGATTTTGAACCAATAGACATCTGAGTGGAACGGAGTATTCAAAGTGCTTCATCACTGCTGGGGTTTGATCGGAGGGGGCATCAGGCAATTATCCCGCTCATCATCATATGCACCTACATTAAAATATAGCAAGAACAGTGTCGAAAAGTTGTGTAGCTGAGATAATCTTGAGTGGACTTTGGTAAGCTGCCACGACGACTTGTCGATTGGAGGTGTCCGTCCTCCTATCAGTTCAAGAGTTGACGAGAAAAATTGTCTCCTTTAATCAGCTATGGCGAATTGTGCGTTGCCTTATCACACGTTGAGTCGAAAACGTGTCGAGAAAAACTGTTGAGATGCAAAGAAAACTCGACTCCGTTAACACCAGAAATGCGCTGCGTAAACGCAGGAT